ATCCCATCCCCCAGAGCCCCCTGCCCCCCCCCCCCGACCCCGGGCGTGTGGTACAGTGCCATGGAAAGAGCCCAATCTTGAACCATGCCCATGGTTTTAGATCTTGGCCCTGCCATGTGACCTTGGGCAAGTCACTTGAATCTCTGAGCCTCTGTTCCCTCATCTCTAAAATGGATGTAATGATAGAGGTGTGTGGATGTCTTTAAGATAATCAGTTTCTATTATCTTTTGCCCCTGAGCGAGAATTTCATTTTCTCCCCAGTTATTTCCCTCTATGGAAATTCACTAACCCACCCTTCTCATAAGGACACCCAGCTTCCCAAGAATAGCACACCAACCGCAGGTGACATTTATTGAAGGCGAACCATGAGCTTGACCGGCATCACCTTATTTAATCCCCATACCCTATAAGGTCGTTCCTTTATCATCCCCATTTGAAAGACAGGGAAAGTGAGGCTCCGGGAGAATCCGTAACTGGCCCAGGTCACATGTCTAGGCAAGGTTGGAATGGAGCTCTGAGAGTGGGAGGTGTGGAGGCAACAGGGCTCCGCCAGAATGAAGTCCTTCTAGGGAGGGGCAAGTGTCTGCTGCCTGCTTTTCCTGGGCTCTGGAGAGCAAACCATTTCACCCAAACCCTGCCTACCCAAGAGTCAGCCACAGCTGGGCATCAAATTCCTTTCTTGTTTGCTTGACTTAGACTAACACTGACCTCAACCTCTGTCCTCATGAGTGGGGTGGGGGGATGAGATCACCGGGAATATGCTGGGGAAAGGAGGGAGAAGGTGGCCAGAGGAGCCAACAGTGTGCTGGGTACAATCTAGAGCGGATGATCTCCAAAGGCACCCCCCACCATGAGTGTCCCTGGCCACCCCCTCCTCACCCGCCGTCCACAATCTCGTCCAGCACCAAGAAGGCTCCATCCATGTTATCCATCAGCCAGCGCTTCTCCACGTTCTTCCTGAGGGAGACACAGCTCCTGAGCTTCCCCGTGGCCAGGAGGAACCAGGTCCCTGCCGGGGTGAGACAGACCCCCCTCTCCATCCACACCCCACCACATGCCCAACAAGCATTGGGAAGGACAATGTCAAGGGCATTGCCTGTGCGAGGGATTCCCGAGCAGAGGACAGGCCTGCTGCCTTAAACCCTCCTGGCCCAACCTCCTACACGTGGGGCATTGATGCTGTGCCCACCATGGCACCCCTGATGCATTTCATAACTAGTTTAGATGCTATAGCTCTACTTTACTTAACTGTGTTGACTAGGGAATGCATGTATTTTTGGATTATCCTACTTTGGTTTCCTAAGGTCATGCCCACTGGAATAGATACTGGATAACTGAATGGGGGTCCAGTGAAAACCACCTTGAGCCTCAAGTCAGAAAACCTGAGTTTGAGTGTCTGCTGTGATATAAACCATTTGTAACCTCAGCCAAATCATTTCGCTTTTCTAGACCTCATTTTCTGGCCATACCTTCATATTGCCCTGCTCCGGGTGATACCATGTGGCTAGGTAAAGGGCAGAGGTCTGGAGGGGGACGGACCAGCTCCAGTCTTATTCTTGTAGGGACGTCAGGACAAAAGCATGGAGGAAGGGCCCTGTCTTTGTGATGTATCAAGGCCTGGGGGATGGGGCCTTGAAGGGCCGAGGATCTCACTCACCTTAACACGTGGTTCAGGGACTCAAACAGGCAGGTGAGAACAGACATGAGCATCAGCTGAGGTTGGGCAGATACGGGAGGAGGGAAATGAGAGAGCTTGAGATTGGGAAGGCCGAACAAAGACCTCAGCGTCTACCTGCGTGGGAAACTGTCCCTTTCCAGAGACAACAGAGCTGGAGACTGCCTGCAGCTTGACCTTGGAGCAGGGTTGGGAAGCACTAGAGTGGGATGCTGAGTATCCTTCTCTATGGTGTTCAAAACAAGAAACAAAAGCTCCTGCAGAGAACTTCACTTCTGGTCCCTAAGGAACCTAAGGGCATAATGGGTATACCTCGTCCCAGAAAGAATCACCGACCCCCAGAGTTTAGAAGGAGGGGTACCCAGCTTCTACCCCAGACTTCAAGCCATTCCCCCACAGACAGACCCTCCTTGTCACCCCAACCTCCTGAATTCACCTCATTCTCCTGGGATGAGCCAACCACGTACAGGAAGAGGTCGATGCTGCTCTTGTAGACAATGGTCATGCCCCCGAAAAACGCAATCTCACCTAGAAGTAGAGGAGACTTTCCGTTCTGGCCACCGCTGCCTGGCCCCTCCTCCCCATCTCCAGCTCTGCTCTTCTCCCCGTATTTCAGTCCTCCCTTTCTAAGGAACCCTTGGAAAGACTAGCACTAGGGACACTACCATTAGGCTACTCCGTGTCCTTCCCCCCACCCCCTATTTCTAGTGATTGCCTCATTCTGAGGAGTCAACAAACCCAGTTCAAGGTCGACCTTGCACCCCCGCTCCCACCATGTGCAATGGACCAGTCCCAGGCTGGTAGGGGGCCCACAACTCAGTTGGCCACTTCCCCTGAGAGCGAGGTCTAGGTGTGCAGGCGGTGGGCGGTTTGAGAGGGATGGTGTGTGTGTGTGTGAAGGTTCCCCAGACGTAGAGATGAACAGCTGGGAAGGAGAGGAAAACAGAACCTCTGAAGAAAAGGAAATGGCCTGTGGGTGTGCAGGCCCGACGGGGACAGATGTGTCCAGATGGAGAGGACAGGGCGTATCTGAGAGTTCTGGATGAGGAAGAGGAGGGTACTTACTGTCAGTCCGGTAGGTCTTATTGAAGACATTTTTCTCGAAGGCCATCTGCTCCTTCATAGAGGGGAATGTGTCATCATAATACTATGAGAAAGGGGAGGAGAAGGAGCGATAGCCATTCCACAGAGCCTGGCTCCTCCGTGGATGGGTGGCAGGGAATGGTGGGTGCTGGCCAAGTGCCCCATCTCTTCTTATTGCCCCCTAGGCCTGACTGCTCACTGTTTCCCTATAGACACAAATTCTAAGCAAAGAATAATAAAAAGTAGAGAAGTTTTGAGGCCTTTTTTTTATTTTGGAGTCCTCTCCTGATTCTTGGAGGCTTTTGTATGTTGAGCAGATGTGCGGTGTGCTGGGGATTGGGGTGATCACCAAGTCATGCTGTTTCTACACGGACCTGAGTCTACAGGAAAGAGCCCGGGGTCCTTCTTCACCACAATAATAATCATAACTACTTTATTACCCCATTGCACTGATGGGGAAACTGAGGCGAAGAAGTCAGGTAACTTCTCACAGTTGTAGGGGCAGAACTGGGATTCAACACCAAGGATGGTTTGACTTCAGGCAGAGTTCTGAAGACAAAATATCTGAGGAAAAATCCCCAGTGCACATTGCACAATGGGTATTTAAGTCAATGCTGTTGTGTCTGGGTTTGGTGAGCCGCTCTCTCAGACTCAGTTTCTTAACCTGAACATGAAAGTGTCCTGCTGGGATGAGGTCCTAAAACCTTTGACATTGCTGATCCACCTCTGACCGTCTGCTGGGCAAGGTCTGGTGAGCTCAGCTCTCAATTTTCTGAATGTGGATTATGCCCCTTAGTACCCCAATGGCAGGCAAATTAGTAGTCTCCCTGCTGGCCACTGAAGGCGTGAAGGCAAACAAGCAAATCTATAAATTATTTCATAGCTAGTGTAGATACCATATCCCTACTATAGTTAGTCGTGTTGAGGTAGACATTTATTTTTGGACTAGAGGCCTGGTGCACAAAATTTGTGTACTGGAAGGGGGGGGGGGTCCCTCAGCCCGGCCTGCGCAGTCTGGGACCCCTCGTTCTTTACTGCCTGCCTGCTCCCTGCTCCTTACCACTGCCGCTGCCACAGAGGCAGGAGAGGCTCCCGCCACTGCCACTGTGCTCACCAGCCATGAGCCAGGGCTCCCCCTGTGGGAGCGCACTGACCACCAGGGGGCAGCTCCTGTGTTGAGCGTCTGCCCCTTGGTGGTCAGTGTGCATCATAGCGACTGGTTGTTCTGGTCCTTCTGGTTGTTCCGCCATAAGGGTGGCTCAGGCTTTTATTATGTAGATTATCCTAGGCCATGTTTACTGGGATAGATACCGGATAACTGATTAGTTTGTGCAGGGAAAGCCACCCTTCTGAGCTCCAAGCCAGAGTACTTGAGTTCAGATCGCTGCTCTGATATTAACCCTTGTGACTGCAGGCAACTCATTTAGCTTCTCTAGACCAGGCCGCATTTTCTTCATTTGTGAAAGAGCTGGATTTTGTGCTCTCTCATCCTGCCTGGTTCTAAATTCTTAGACTCCTCAGACCCAATCCTCAGTGTTTACTAAGCTGTAGAAGAAAAGCGGAGGTTGCTTGTTTAGAATTTGGGGACTCGGACTCCTGGGTCCCAGGCTCAACACTCCACTGACCCCTGAGGAGGTCCCTCCCGTGCCCAGGGTCCAGCTGGCTAATGGGAAGGATGACCAGAAGACATTTCGGGGGACACGATTAGAAACGGGGGTCAGCAGTCTGGCAGGGCACGAGGATGGGCAGAGTGACCTTTGCAGGGTCTAAGCTGAGCTGCTCTGAGTCACAGAACCCACAGTGGGGTCTCTCCTGAGGCAGCTGCGTGGGGACTTTTGTTTTGGGGACAGAAGTACAGTCTTCAGGGGCCCTCGGGTGAGGGTGGGAGGTTACCTTGGCCAGCAGGCGGCGTCCGTCACTATCTAGGATGAAAACAGCCTTGATGGTGTAGAGGGAAGGTTCCTGCAACTGACACGAGGTCGGGGTGAGGGGAGCTCCGTCGGCCCCTGACTCAAGGCAGGTGCCCTGTCCTTGGTTTTACGGGCCCCAGGGGTCCATGCTCAGGCTCCAGTGACCCGCGCCTAAAAGGTCCATAGCCGGTTCTGGCCCAGTCCTGTCCCTCAGGGGCCCACTCCGGGCCTGCTCCACTCCCAGGCGGATGTCCCACTGCAGGCCCCTGGTGGGCGCTCTGCACAGTGTGCGGAAGGTCCGCCCGGGCCCAAGTTCTGTCATGCACTGACTGCTCCAGAGCCCGAGTCGGAGTGTATCACAGAACCTGGGCCGGGGGGACAGCGGTGCCTCCTCCTTCCAGCTGACCTCGGGGTCGAGGCTGGACCCCCTCTCTGAGCCCGCCCCTGCCTCCCCCGCGGGGGTGGG